GTTTGGTAGTCTATTTAATAAGATATTTTAGGACGCTTTTAATGTTCATCCACACGCACAAACCCCTTCATACTTGTAGACCGGTGTGTTAAAGTCAAAGTGTTTTGCTAAAGAGATTTATAGCTAAAGAGGTATGGCCGACGACTGTGATAAACTTGTATTATATAAATGTGTATATATGTAGAGTACACACGCACACATACACACACACATATACATGCACGCAGTCTAGTGTTTTTTTAAATACAGACTAAAAGCCTTTTCGAGCGAGTGTATGTTTATGTTGGTGAATATGTAAATATATTAAATTGAGTGGCGTATGCGAAAAAAGCGGAAACCGCGTTTTTGAGCTCATTTCAATTTTGTTTACAACGCCAAAGACGAAAAGCTAGCCCGTGATAGGGCACAAAAAGAGCAAAAAAGGCAGACGCTGCAGGGAAAGGATGGTTAATGAACGTTAAGAGCGTGGTGGAGGGTGCGTCGAAAAACCGCTTAAAAGTTTTTGTAACGAATACTGCGAATACTTTATTTCCGTCATTTTAGGAGGAAATGGAAATAGGAAACATACGGAAAACTGCAGAAATTGTGCACTCGAATAAACCCAAAATACATGCACACCATCGAACACGTTCTGATGTAATTGTATATATATATTTATGAGCAAAAGAGAGAGAGAGATAGAGAAAGAGAGAGAGAGAGAGAGAGAGAGAGAGAGAGAAGAACGACATTCAGAATATGGCTAAGTAGATGAATGCTAAAGTCAGCTAACCAAACATGCCAACTAAAGCTTCCAAAAATAAAAATGGGAAGCGAAACGTAACTGGCTTTTCAGCATACAAACAAACAAACGCACATAGAGTATCCGCTTTATTACACATCAGCAAAAGGCAGAAGTTCGCGATATGTATGCAAATGTGTGCAGATGTCTGCATTTCTGTGTTTTGGCGTTCATTAAGCTGGAATACACATGAATATTTGAATGAGCACATACAATGCAGACACAGACAAACAAACATAAATATGCATATATTCGCAACAGTGTTAAATGTTGCTTATTTGCAGTTAATGAATGATGATGACATACACTGACAGACGTATGAGCAGACAGATACGATGTCATCTTGCACAGCAAATAAGAACAACAAGCAAGTTACAGCTACAGACAGAATTGTTACAATGTGACTTATAATGTCATTCTACTATGCAATCACATTCTATCCTGTTTTGATTTACTTTTGTTTTTTTTTTCCCCCAACATTTTTCAATTGCTACTGATGGTTCTTATATTAGTTATAGTCCCTCTTTCTTTTCTGTTGCTAAAGGAAATTCAAAATCGTATTTTAAAGCGCTTTTAATACTCTTCGCTTAGCGCTTGTTTGTTTTTCTTTTGGCATTACATTAAAATTAAATACGAAAATAGAGTCTTGTCGAGTCTTTCATTTATGCTGAGGGATTCTAAATTTAACGAACAGTAATAGAGCTCATCATGAACGAAATTTTTTCTATTACGTGACTTTTTTCTATTGCAAAAAATCATACGAAACATTTGCAATAAGACATATCGTATTGAAAAAGCACCAAAAGCAAACTAAACTTGCAACATAAACTTTAAATTAAGTATATAAAGCTATAAAAAAGAAGAAGAAGAAAAGAAATTGATTCCCCTCTTCACACTGATCAGGATAGTATATAAATTTTAGATCTCCGATCTGCGTTTCTGCGCGTTGTTAACATTCGATAAATTCAATATACTTTTTTTATGATGTAAGTGCATATAATACTAATGTGTATGTGTGTGCGTTTTTTTTTTTTTTTTGAGGAAGCTGTAGGTAGCTATCTTCTAAAAATCTACTGACCCAAACCAGCAGCCAACAGCATATATGGTTCGCCATCATGGCACCTAGGTGCTAAAACTGTGAGAAACTGTGTAAGCTAATAGTTTACGTCATTTCCGTCCTCTATTAGTACGTGCTTTCTTGAATAATGGACACTTTACCTTCCTTGCGATACGTTTCGCATCTGCATGTGACTCGTTTTACCAGAATTTTCAAAAGATTGTGTAGTCCTTCATTATACGCCATCCCTTGCTGCACTTGCGGCAAGCTTCGGAGCAGCCCTTGGCAACATTACATTCCTTTACAATATGCCCAAATTGCAACCACCAAAAACATTTTGTAAGACTAGTCCTCCCGTGTATTTGGTAAACCACCTAACCGATTTTGATCTTCATAGGGAGAAACACATTCGCATCTTCAGTCGCCTGACTAAGCATTGCCGTCTGTATTGCTCCGTACGTTTTGCTTAGACCCAACACCCTAGCTGTGGCTGCCAACCCTCTAGTAGGCTTTTGGCTTGGACGTTTGTGTTTGTCTTTTTAGGCTACTTGAGTCCACTTGTTTACGTTTTCCTTGCGCGGCTGGTGTGCATCTCATTTTTGGTTGGCCTTGTCTCCGGTCCCGACGTCGAAGTTGTAGTCGTTTGCGGCATCTTGGCTGCTTTCTCTTTCCTTGCTTGAGCCCTGTCTCAACTTCTTGAGCTTCCTTTTTTTTCGCTTCGCGGTCTTTTAGCCATGATAAAGATTGCGAGCTATTATCCGATATATTATTTTCGGATCGTGCAACATATTTGTCAGCCTAACTAGTCTGAGCTTAGTCCTCCGTTTATGCGTGTGCGCACGCATTTGTGCCATCTACAAGATAATTACATTTCGTATAAATGAAAAAAAAAAGTACAATAAAGTTTTCATGCATAAAAAAGCGACGAAATATATGTCTTGCTAAAATTAATCAGAGAAATAGAAGTTTTAAAAAACGGAAACTCACGAGTCGCAGAATTATCAGCAGAACGTTATTACACACCCATGCACGCCTATCGTGTCATCGTACGTGTATCACTTGTAAAACATTTCAATTTTCTAGAACCTTGTTTTGTGTGGACTGAGTTAGGTTTTTTGTTTAAAGGACAGAGAAAAAGTAATATTTCCAATGGAAAAATTCTTATTGCAATATGTTGAATAAAATCTGTAAATAATGTTAATATACTTCGCATGATTGTTGATGTGGTCACCCTTTCATTCCTGCGAAAGCGAGCACATTTGAATGGATGCTTTCCATAAGAGGCGTTAGACGTACTAACCACCGTCGCTTTTGCTAGTGCTTTAAATGTTCAAAATAAATGTATTTTCTAAGATCAGGTGTAGGCAATAAAGCGTATAGTGCCATGCCGAGCCATAAGCACGCACATACACACACCCGTACGCAAAGGCCCACGTACAGAGAGACAAATATATTTATTTATTTAATTTGCCAAATGGCGAAGAAGGATATGCGAGTTTGTTTCGGTTTTGTTGCTTATCTTTTAATTTCTCTTCAACACATAGTTACGCTTTACACCATAAAACCCAGCTTTTCCTCTTCTTCTTGGACCTTTTTTTTCTTTTTATTTTCATTATTATTGTTTACACGAATACATTTCGTTATTGTCTTTTGTATGTATTTGCATTGTCTACGCATACGTAGATGTATGATCTGAGTGCCTTCGCTTTTATACCTACCACTACAGGCGGTCTGTCTGATTTACCAACACTGCCAATACTTTTCTTTTCTTCTGCGTCTGCCGTGCGTCCGTTTGTTGAAATCACGGCGAAGTAAAGTTCGCTTCAAATTAATTCGTCGCAAATTTTTTCTTATCTCTCGTTTCAGGTTCATGGACATTGCTACCGGAATTTTAAAAGTTCTTATTGAAATCTCCGCGTTAAGTTCGAAAATAACCTATGCCGAACCGAATTTGGTTACACTTACAAAAAAATTAATGCATCAATAAAGAAAATGTAAACGTGGTCCACGGACTTGTACGGTTATCTGAAAAGTGTTTAATATATCTTATACAATTTAAACTTTATCTTGGATTAGTATACCACACAGAGGTGATGAGTACCAAAAGAAGAGGCCCAAGTTGACCATAGCTGTAATTATTTCTCATACTGCGTTTCGGTATAACTACAACATATGCTGTAATATTCAGCAAAAATGCACAAACATGCATTTTTACTTTATAGGGTGCACAAGTGAACATATTTACAGGAGAGGTGGGGGAAAAACGTACTTTGAATACTTTTATATTCATACTTAAAGTGGAAAATAATTGCAGTTAGGCTTTATTGATAAATTGTTGTCTTCTTCGAAAGCCTTGTAAACTCTCTCTGAAAGCATAGCAAGGCTGACGAAAATAACTGAGCTCTGGAGTTCAGTAACATTAAGCGATATAGATATTCCGATCCGGTAATCTATTAAATTAATTGATTCTTCGTAATGAATTAACCCTATGTCCAAGATTTACTCTGTGCAGCGCTGCACATGAAGGTCGATCACCCACTACGTGAGGCATTTTCAATGCTTATGCGATCTCGTTTAAAATCTGAACGATATTCATTTCTACCAACGAGCGCTGTTTAATCAACACACGCAATATCGATTTCTCGTTTGTTTGGAAAACAACAAAATTACCGTCACTAAAAGCCTTGTATCTGGTATAATATATATATTTATATATACTTAAATATCTACATATTCATACATATCATGTTAGATACAAGTCAGCAAAAAAAAATTAAAAAGCAACTGAAATGGTCGTTCACCTGTTCATTTTCTCATTTTTCAATTTCAGTTTTTTTCCACTGCTTTTTGCCTCGACAAGCTCATAGATAGTAACCAACCCACCTAACATGAATGGCATTTGTGCTCAATGTGCGACAGCAATATATAAACTTGAACTGATCTTTTTTTCTTTCATATATCTATGTGTTGAACACTTTACATCCAACACTAAACAATGCAACCCTGTACGAGCAGCATAATTGTTTCTAAATTGTATTTTATAATTGACTTTTTAACTTTTCGTTTGCTTTAACTGGATAAAAAAAGAGGGGGAAAATATTTTAAAGGATTTTTTATTGCATACTACAAAAAAAAATCGAAGCAAACGAAATGATTTCTGAAATTATGGAGAGGGCCCTCGAACCCTTGGACATTGTGAAATTTAGCAATCTGCGCGAGCAGCAAAAGCGTTTACAAGAAATTCCTCGAGAAGATATCAAAAAAATAGTTGACGCTATTATAGATCGCGGTGTCCACTTAATTGAAAGTGACGTTAATCATGTATTCTTCTACAAAAATCCCTATTATATATCAAAGCATGCTGACGTCAAGGAAAAGCTCGCGGTGAAGTCAATTAGTGAGCAGACAGGCTCCTCATTCGATAGTTCCACTGAGGAATCGGACGCAGAAGAAGAGGAAGACGGAGCAACCTTTCAAGAAGAATGGATTACAATTGGAAATTTTGACTTTGTTACGGCGATACATCAACTAACGGCGTTTGTCGAAAAATGGGAATTGACGCCTGCAACTAAATTCGTCGTCATTGCCCAAGAGTTTGCAGAGGAGGTTAAACCGTTTGGTCACCGGTATTTTGCCGAAATACATTTTTCTAAGCCTACTCCCAAATGTCCAAATCCTTTGGCAGCCGCCAAATTGTATTTCCACATAAATATCTGTTCGTACTTGCCTCCGTTTTATCCAATTATGATTACTTACAAATTCGAGGGCTTCAAAACGATGTACTATGCCGTTGGCGAACGGAAACTTAGTTCAAATAAATTTCAACGTTACCTAATTGACTCTATTTTGCACATGAAATTGGCCTTCTACGCCGAGCTCTGGGATTGTCGCAACCCCTTAAAGCCGCTTGAGAAGCGTAAAAAGAGTGGCTTCTAAAAAGCTGAACGTTTATGTATAAATTTTATATATTTTTGCATACGCGGGCATAAAAATTATTTTCAGCTCTTATGTTTTTAAAGCTTTTAGACGAAATTATATTAGTTATTCGTTTCGCTTGTAACGATGTGAGTAGTTTTGTTCTCTATTTGCATTATTTTTGTCTTCAAGGCACATCATATGTATATATTTGTATATATATATATGTATATATATATATATATATATGTATAGATTATATCTTAATAAAACAAAAAGCAAAAAAAAAAAAATTCCTAAATTGTGCAAATAATTTCACAAACATTTAGCAACGCTTCTTCTTTCCAAAATTTTGTTGGCTTTAACGAACCTGAATATTTGCCATTTATATGGTGATGTGGTCACAACGGTGCCCACAGCAACAACAGCTTAAATCAACAATTGTTAATAAAGGTGTGTCCGCAAATCTCATACCCTCTCTGCTTTTCTCATCCTTGTTCTCTGGATGCCTGGTGAAAGGCTTCTGCTAAAGGCTCCATAGAAACTTAACAAGAAGTAAAAAAATTTTGTTTAGTATCACAACACAAAAAATAAATATAAAAAAAGCTGTACGGCAATGTTTTCGCTCTTGTTCATTCTTCCCGCTTTTCCCTGCTTGTTGAATGACAAACTGAATGAAATGTCCTGTGCTTGTGCTGATACTCTTGTTGCTGCCTAAAGAGCCACCGACACTATCTATGTTAAAGAAAAGAGTTTGGTAGCTGCGTTGTAACGGTTGTTTTTGTTGTGTCTGTAATTGAACACTTTAACATTTATGCATACATATACCAGCAAACATGTGGTACTAAAATGCACTCGAACAATAATATAACGAACACTTGGTTATAAAATGTCAGCGAAAAAAATGAGAAAAACAGAAAAAGGACAAAAACAACAAATGCATCTGAAATAAATCACATCAATGCATGGTAATCTACGCCAGACTGTGAAGTATTATATTGCTGTTTATACGTCCATACTAACAAACATCAATACATACAACATTGGTTAATAATTCCAGGGACTAAAAAAAAATTTTTGTTTTTTTTGCAAAGGTCGACCTTACTCATTGTAATAGCGCCCTTCGAAGGTGACACAATCCGTCGACGATTCCTCTAAAATTTCGATGCTTTTTGTGTACAGTGAATTGCCAAGAGGCTTAAAATGTGCTTCAGTTTCCGCGATGACCTCATTATTTAGTTTAAATCTCTTTCTCTGAATAACGTGCTTTTGAGATTTTCGCGTAGATAAGAATTGCACAGGATCTGACCTGAAGACTGTGATAAGCGGGGCAGCAATTTAAACATTCATGCATTCATACAATTTTGGCTTTGTAGTCATTATAGCTTCAGATAAAATACGACCATCGGTTTTCAAGCACGTTATCCATTTAGAAAACAGATTTCTCAGGCCAATGATTTCATGCAAAATAATGTGAATATAATGCCATATGATATCTGCAGAATGTCGGATATCTCTTGCAAACTCACCTTTCTGGATTGTGGAGAATAATTTTCGGCGTCTGCTGCGTGCGGCATTTTGATGCTTATACGATCTGGCTTAAAATTAGTCGACGAATCGAAGAATTGATGTTTTTTACGAAGCAGACTTATCGCATCACTTTTCAAGCTAATGCGAAATTTGAACAATATTCGTTCCCACCGATAGACAATGTTTAATCAACACAAGCAATTCGGGTTTTTTATTTGTTTTAAAAGTAACAAAAATAGGGTCACTAAAAGCCTTGTCTCTCGTAAAAGGTTATAATAATCGAAATCACGAGATCGTTGACGCTTTTTGAAAGTAATATAGTTTTTCCTTAGAGAAGATACCTATTGCATAGTTCCGATAATTATTGATCGGTGTATTATGTATATACGTGTAAGAAGAAATTCTAATTTCTACGTCTTAGATAAATGCTCGGTCAAGGAATAGACAATGCATTCACCTATAAATGTGTTTGTTGTTTTAATTTAAAAAAACGCAAAATTTATAATAGAAATAGAATAAAAACCACTTTGAATGAAAAAAAAACAAGTCATTCCGAGCACGAGTGCATGCATTGAAAACGATGCACTAACATTGCCTACTTAATATCTTTCCTCTCAGCCTTCCGATTCATGTATATGTGCGTTTAAATTTTTGAATTAACAATAAATAAAGTAAACTAAGGGGGAAAAAACAGAAAATCAGTAATATTCAAGTCAAAATTTGCATAACTTTTTCTTTACGTGAAATCATTAATCTTTCAGACATGCAAGCTGAATTCCGCCCTAAGGCGGGGAAGTCGTAATGAAAGGGCAATTCCGTTTGGCGTAGTTTTCGTGAAAATGTGAATAAAATGTCATGAAAACTTAAGTTTAAGAACTTCGGTATAAGATATATCCTCTTGCATAAAAATGATCGTAATCGTCCTCTAGGTCATAGTTAATAAACAGGTCAACATGTTACAGTCGATTAAAGCCCACTGCTAAATGCTATCCGCCACCTAATAGATGAACACAATTCATTACTTACTTGCGTCATATCAAAAATTATACCTTCTTCCCACATGAAGATTTTACATCTCGTAAAAGCCCTTATCGGACGAGGATTCAAAAAACAGTCTATAGCATAAATCCAAAGTCATTATTGCCGCAACATTACGACTCAGACAGTAATAAAAACTTATGCAATAACGTTTAACCTCAGAGTCCTATTACTATTGTGCGCACGAGAACAACCGCAACTCGCATTGCAGACAGAACGATCGATGTACTAAGGGTCAGATGGTACACAATTATGACGAATAGCAATCAAGCTCGCTAATTACCTCTTGCTAAACATATTAGTGAACCTTTACTTAAATAAAAATAAAGATAGTTTCTAATAAACCACTAACAACGAGCCCCATTCAATTTTTTGTCTTGTCAGGATTTTTTGAACGTAAGCATTTATTCGTAATAATATGTTTTATATGGAGAGAGTGGTTATAGAGACGATTCGATCGAGGCCATTTTCAATAAACCTTGTCTATAAGCCAAAGCACGTCAGTATAATAAGATTCATTACATTTCGAAAAGTGTAATAAGTAGATTGAATATAATAATACGTAGACCACCAGCAGACGGATAGACACGGTTTGAATTGATATAGGAGATGATTTCAAACCGACTGGTACAGCTAAAGATTGATCCATCTTAAGTCCTTCCGTATGTTGCGTAAATTCGCACAGAACTTAACATAGTCTCACCCAACCATAACTGCTATAGAATACAAATAACCTATACGAATTTCATACATAGTTGCCTTAGATTACTAGTATTGGAAGGGTGAACGTTATCCCCAATACGTTCAATGGTCATTTCCACGTAGTCTGCTTTTTGCCTTTCATACGTGATAAGGTTTTTATAAACAAAGATCGTGGCCGTGCTATTAAATGCGATTAATAAACATAATAAGATTTTCAATTCTATTTGGTATGAGCCAGTTATAATTGAATAATTTAATCACTTTGTCCAACAGCTTAGATATGGGTTGTGGGGCATTGCATAAGCCAAGCGACATGATCTTAAATTGATACCCGGTAAATGCAGTCTTACCTCTCGAATCAAGGTGTAACGAAATCTGCCAAAAGGCTTCCTTGCGATCCAAACTAGTTATATAATGGGCTTTTGGCAATCTGCTATGTATTCCCTGTGTATTAAATATCGGGTAGGCTGAATTGAGCTTCCTACTATCGATGCATAGGAGATTTTTCCCTCGTTCGCGAATTAGAACAGCTGGAGAACTCCACCTACTATACATTTTCTTCTACAATTCCTAACTTCAACATTCTATCCATTTTTTCGTATATTAAATTTTCTCTAGCTGGCGAGATTGGATAGTGCCTTTGTTTTATAGGTATCGCCGAACCAATATCAATAACGTGAGACAATACATTGGTTATACTTAATCCATTTACCCTGATAAGAAGGGAAAATAGTAATTACTTTACGTAATTTATAATTTTTGATTGTCATTCAAATTATAAAAGTCGACAATTTTTTCGGTTTTTGAACTATGGAACAATTTAGAAATAAACCCAACAGGATATAAGTTGCATGCTTTCAAAAAATTGCAAGACAAGGGACAAGACAGAGACAGACTAATAAATACTTGAATAGGTTTATCCATCCCTCTAAAAGAGATGACCGTCTCTACGAACCCTTTAATGGCTTCAATATTTTCAGCAGCAGTTTTCACAGAAGTTTTAATTTCCATATAGGGCTTTTCGAATTCGTTGAAAAGGCTTTTCAGGCCATGAAAGCCCCCGAATCCAAGAGCCCACTTATCTTTTCATGAAATATGTCTGCTCCAGCGACAGGGTATTGTGATTACCCCCTATACGGTCAAAAGAAATTTAGTATGACGTAGGCTTGACATTGGCCGAAAAGGCTTTTGTAGCCTCGTTGCGGGTATTTCAGATTTTTTTGTAATTCTGTCAAACTTGTTGTAATCACGAATTTCGTTAATATAAATGGGTAAGGCTTTTGCTGGGCAATCACTTCATCACTTTGCGTATTTAGTAAATTCGTACAATCCAATTGTACGAAATTGATTTGCGTGCATTTCTCGCGTTTTTTGGTTTAGACCACAGCACACAGTTAGGCTTATAGGTATTAGGGGTGCCACAGCCAAAACAATCTTACCACTCATGGGATATCTTATATGGAATGGGGTTAAAGCAATAGACCCATGCGGTTCTAATTAGAACCACAGATTTTTTTTATATAATTATTATCATCAACAAATTTTCATCACAAAAAAATTAACAATTAAGGTTTTTTTGGCATATAACAGTTTACGTACCATGGGAATTCTTATTTACGAACAAAAAATAGACCTACGTGTAAATCCAGTAAAGTAGATTTCTTTGTCAATTTACTATTATGAGCTAATTTTTGCTATGAAATATTGGAAATTCGATTTCTTTACCACATAAAGCTTCCATTTCTGTAAGA